GGGGCCTGCGGTCTCTCACCCAGTCTTTGACATCCGCCTGGATATGGTTGTAAAACTGTTCCAGGAGTATCAGTTGCAAAATCTCCTCCGCGGTGGCGGCCTGGCTACTGTTAACCCAGTTCGAGGCCAACAGGGATAACTGGCATGCCCATTCCACGTAGGAATCTTTAGCGGTTTTGCGTGAGTCCCTGAACTTCTGTCGGTAGGACTCTGGGGTTACTGCATAACGGGCCAGGAGTGCTTCTTTAACCCTGGCGTAGCTATGGATCTCCTGTTCTGGTACAGCCCGGAAAGCATCAGAGGCTTTGCCTGACAGCTTTCCTGACAATATTGAAACCCATTCTTCCTTAGCTATCCGGTGCAGGTTACATTGCCGCTCAAAATCTGCTAAATAGTTATCAATCTCACAGTCTTTTTCGTCAAAAGCTTTAAAAGCGCTGAACGGAATTTTCCTTGTATCCGCTGTGTTGTACTCACTGTTTGGGGAGTGTGTTGCTGCCTGCTGGACCGCTGCCAGCTTTAATTGTAGCTCTGCGTCTCTTTTTTGTTTAGCTTCCTCCGCCAAAAGGCTCATTACTTTCAGAATAATGTCAGCCGTTGGGTTCGGACCGAACCATGCTAGCTTCTCCCTCATTTCTTTGTTGGCTGGTGATTCCTCCTCCTGAATCACTGGTGTCTCCATCTCCTGTACAGCTGGCATTGCTGCAACCAAGTTCTCTCGGTCTAGCTCCATTAACTCTGCTATAATGACCCGCTTGGTTTTGTTGCTAGCAATCCTTCCACGAGCTTCCAGTAGCTCTTTCAGTGTATTTCTTTTAAGCAAGGTGTACCAGCCTCCCATTCACTGTTCCCAGTGTCTGCTTGGAATCCTGGTGTAAAGGAAAAAGTAGAAGGGAAAATCCCGCCGCTGCCAACCAGTTGTAACGAGACTGCAATATTAAGTCCCCAGATCTCCGCTGGTATAGAAGGTAATATCCCAAATACCCCAGTAACCAGATGAAACACCGTTCAGGGAGTCAACTGAACTTTATTCACGGCTCCAGGAATTAACTGCCAACTGTCAACTTTGTTAAAAATGTTCTGCAATGCATTACACACACATACCCTTGGTTCTTAAAGTGGTACATACATATTGAACCGAACGGATACAGGCATTTAAACAGGAGGGAGAAGGTTTAGCTCAGGGCCCACAGGCAAATACATGAAAAATCCTTCACAATTATTCATTATGAATCTTCTATTTTTGTACTAAATGTTTATGCTTTTATCCATTCTAATTTGTCTAGTATCACATTATATGTGCAATATGTAAACACATTCCTATTTATTCCACTTTTTCATTCATCACAGTCCTAGAATCTCAGTAAATCCAGTACAGTTCTTTTTGAGACTCCATTTATTTTATCCTAACTTCAATCTATGTGTTATCACTATTTAAAGATAATAAAAATAATACACATATATATCATAAATAATCAGTATATAAACTTGTAGAAAAGTAGTTTTATTTACAGTAAGATCAATAAGGATATGGAATTATCTGCCTGAAGAGGTGGTTTTATCAGAGTTGCATACAGATGTTTAAACTGCAATTGGATAAATACTTGCAAAAACGTGCTCAGCAGGGGTTGAATCAGACTGATACATAGTAAATACCAATAATAAACAACGAAACAATCATATAGATACATAATAATAAATAACACACAGACTCAGAAATGTTGCAGAAAAGGCCATGGTCTTTTATTTAGTTTTAAAATAATACAACCAACACATAATAACTTTCTAACCAAACCATCTCTGTTTTTTAAACCCCCAGAGAATTAAAACATAACTCACCAGAGTTCTGCCCTATTAGCCAAAACTTCAACCAAATGATCAAAAACTCAGCTAGTCCACTCCCCTTTAAATTAGGCAGGTGACCTCAACCCCACACGCTGCAGCATGCAACTAATGCTGCAGCCCACCCCATCAGACCACGGCCTTATCAACCATACACTGCACATCATTATTAAAAAATATCCAAATCAACATCAGACAAATGGATACCATTCCTTAAAAATAATCCTTCACATTGACCCTCACTATCCACACGACGAAAAGAAAAACCACCAATTGATTGTATAAATTTCTCCATGGCTTTATTAAGCTTGCGCCTAACTCTTTCTAGCGCTTTAAGTTTAGCATTGCGCAATCAAAGTAATCTTGGGACTATTTCGGACCAAATAATCAGTGATCCAATGAACATTTGTTTAAAATGAAGCAAATCATCCTTAAACTGATGGAACAAAATTACTGATTTAACCAGGCCCACATCATTACCACCATAGTGAAAATTAATTACCTGCCAAGAGATTTGGCCAACATCACTTTGTAATAACTGGAAAACAATAGACCACTTACACAAATCCAATAAATTAGAACAGACTCATTATCAAAATTAAGTTCTTGCCATATAACCTATCCACCACTCTTATATATGCCCAGTGGACGAAAGAATGGCCTACTATCCAAACAACCACAGGTCTCGTATCTGAAATAGAAAGAAACAAGTCAGTATAATAAAATCATCAGGGTCAAACATAAATTTTAAATTTATTCGAGGACCATCAACCAACTTTTTGACCACTTCATCCGAGAGACCAATTACCACAGCTTCCGTTGCAGCACCTATATGAAAGGAATGAGAAGTAATCCTCTTATCATTAAAACTTAGACTTTTACATGATAACTGAAAAACTTTACAAAATTGAAATTTAGAAAGAGAAACTCCTGACCGGTGTATCAAAAACTGCACTGTGCTTCCGGGCGAATATTTAGATAAGCCTTAACAGCTTTAACTGGACATAACCAATTGTGTATAGCTCTCAATTGAACCCATTGACCTCTCCCGAGCTGATCGGTTTTCGATCTACTTAATAAAATACTTAAGAAATTCATTTTGTAAAAAAAAAAATATCCTAAATTATATACCTGAATGGCAAAACTTATTAGCATAAACTAACTCACTGAGCCTGCAAGCTCCAAAAATTGCTAATATAAAAGCAGTTGTAAAGAATTGGGTCTCAAATGTATCTTTACAAATGGAGCTCAAATTTTAAATGAATCACCCAATAGCTGAAAAGAGATAGTGGACCTGTTACCATGAACTAGCGCTTTCTTTGTCCATGCCCCCTTTAACATCTGCTGATTCTTGAATTCCTTAAACACACACTTCGTTCCCAGTACTTTGAAGAAAAAGGGAATACTCAAAAAAGGCCTTTAAAACAAAAACTTGAATACGTCAGCCCGAAATGTTTTTTCTTTTAAATCATATATTGAATTGCATCCTGTAAAGTAGGATCAGTAGCGTCCCTAATTAAATTAAGCATAAACTGTTGCCATTCTTCCTAAGCCCTCAGGTATGCTCCCAAGTGGAAGGGACCCAAAAAGACTTAAAATCAAAACGGGACAAAAGCATCAGCTATATAATTACTCTTCCCTTTACATGCTCAGCGTACCCATATACTAATGACCAAGCAAATAAAACCAGACGTCTCAATAGATTGATCACTGGTATACATTTAGCACTAAGGGAATTGATACCCAAACCATCCTTAAGTTGTCACAAAGCAAATTGACCCTCTTTGATAGCCAATTCAGCGCCCCAAACCTCAAGAGCTACAACTATCATAAATAATTCAAAAGAGTACTCATCCTTGTCCAACCATACTCTTCCCACGACTGGTGCCACACAGCTGCTGCCCATTTACCATGAAAGTATTTTCCATCCGTGAAAATATCCAAAACCCCATTAGATATAAAATCACTTTGCCAAATCATGGAACCATTAAAGTTGCATAAAATTCATTACATACCTAAAAATCATCCCTGATCTCTCTATAAATTCCAACATAGAGATGCAGATTTTTTTTTTTAAACCAGCTATAACTCTTGACAAATGTCGGGAAAAGGCTCCAGCCATAGGCATTACTCTCGAAGCAAAATTTGGTAAACCTAACACAGATTGCAATAAACCTAGCAACGTTTTGCTAACCTCTAATAAGTGCGAAATTTTGTGCTTCATGCTGATAATCTTATCCTAATGCAAACGCAACTCCAGCCACTCAGAATCAAAAATTATACCTAAAACTGTAAACATGTAATAGGCCAAACTGTCTTTCCTTTGCCAATGGAAGACCAAAAATGCTGGTCAATGGACATGAAAATCTGCAGCAAATGCAAGCAATCTGAAGATTCGGCTTTACATTGAAAATGAAATCATTCAATTAATGAATAACCGAATGTAAACCAAAAAACTTGATTGAAAACCCATTCAGAAAAATTTGAAAAACGTTCAAAATAAAACAAGAAGCAGAACAACCCATAGGCATACATTTATCAAAATAAAATCCTAGAACCAAACAGTCGGAATGTACAGCGAGTAGTCTAAATGCTACCTCAGTGTCGACCTTTAACATGAGAGCACTCTGCTCATACCTCATAACCTACTGCAGCGCCTCATTAAATGAGCTATACGACACAGAAATAATGGAAACATCCACCTCAACATTTAATGATATATCCTTCTGGTAAGATAAATGGTGAATTGGTCTATATGTACCTTTTTCTTACTTAGGGACTAAACCAAGCGGAGACACCCTAAACTAAGGAAAAGGCGGAACAGAAAACAGGCCTTCAACTCTACCTTAAAGCTATTTCTCTATCAATTTTATCTCTAACAAAACTACTATTTAATTTAAGTGAACTAAGATTTTAAACAACTGACCAGATGAACTGACAAACAGGAATTCTAAAACCAAACAAGAAACCTTCTTTAATTAGCTGTGCTAAATGCTTGTCTGGATAGCATCTTAAATATGGGGAGCAGATTTTGTATTCTCAATGGTGTCCAACCTTAAAAACCTGTTCCCTGGCGGTAGCGCCCAGTATCTTAAAGCACTGAAAGGACGGATGATTCCCAGCACAGTTAAAGCATTCATGCCTAAACCTACAAGAATTCAGCCATTTACTTTGCGACTCATTAAACTACTAACAACACCCCTCGGGCGTACCTGTAACCCACTTTCTTGAGACTGTGGTCTGAACAGATTCTGAAGAATCCCGCTTGGCAAACATAATGCAAAACCAGGAGCCAACATCCTTCTAAACCAAGCTAGACTACCAATGCTTGAAAGCCTCCAAAATAGCGTCTAAATGTTGAAAAAAAACGCTAGCACTATCTGAATGATGCTCACAATAAATGTGAGCAAAATACAGTTTTCAACGCCTAAATCCAATTATTAAAAGAACGGGGCACAGGCCTTTTCCTGTCCTCGTCTTTATCTTGCCTTGCCAAAATTCTTTAAAAGTTAGTAATAGTGAGAGAATATTAACATATTAATCATTAAAAAACTTTTTTATTTTTTTTTGCAATTCGATAAGTGATACTCAGAGGTTATGCTTCACATGCCAAAGCTTCCTCTGGACAAGCCTCACTAATAGGCATACCGCTCCTGTCAGACCCATTAATTAAACTGACAGGTGCAGTTGAATTTGTAATTTAAACTATCCTGTAACCAAGCCATCGCTGGACTACCAGCTTTACCTTGCATAGATTGAATAAAAAATCCCCAGGGCTTCCCCCAGCTTAGCATCAGGAGAAACCCCAGAAAATAACTCACCGGATGAATTGTCCATTCGCTCCACGGGCGTAGTCTGCGAGGTGTCAGCTTGCTCACCGACTTGCCCCAATTCAGCAGCCTGACAGGATTTTTCTTCCTTTTCCCTACAGCTTTGGTCTTCTTGTCCCTCTGGTGGATGAAGGGGAATAAATCACTCTTGTAAATCCTCTTCTTTCTTCCATGAAGTAAACTTCTGTCACTCAGGCAATCTGACATTTGATGCTCCTCCTCTGAATCTTCCCCTTTAGCAGCTTCCTCCTCTTCAGGCACTGTACCGTCCAATGAAGCATTCTGTGGGCGTGCATCCATTTGGCAGGAAGGGGCAGTCAAAAGGCACTGCATCAGCCATTCAGCACCTCCGCTGCTGAATGCCCTCCTTCTGACCTCCTCGATCAAATGCTCCATGACAGGACACAGAACAGAAAAGAGAGCTTGCTGAGAAAGGAGAATGAGGGAAAATAGCTCAAGAAAGGGGTAAATACTTATTTTTTCAGGGTACTTCTTTCTTCTGGCGCCAAAACTTACCTCAGGGCGCCTTATATTCCTCGCTTTTCCCGCCTCAGAGTACCCTCACGGACAAGTGCTCCAATCAGAGCCCTGTTTGAAAAACACACAAGGGCACTGCAACAGCTGGTGCTGAATGCCCTCACGGTCAGTGCTATTCGTGCCTCGATCTGACCCCTGATTAAGTCCGCGACGCACATGTGTACCTAGTCTATGGACTAGGTACATTCTTAACATACAGGGATATAATTTCTAATTAGTGTGGTAAAAGCTGCAAGGAGACATCTGACTGCTATTTTGGAGTCAAGAATTAATTTTTTCCTGGTTTGTTGCAAAATTGGAAGCGCTTCAGACTAGGTTTTTTGCCTTCTTTTGGATCAACAGCAAAAACAAAAGTGAGGAAGGCTGAACTGGATGGATGCAAGTCTCTTTTCGGCTATGTAACTATGTAACTGGGATATAGCAGACCTTGTAAATAACATTTAATTTTGTAAAACCTGTTCACTTTAAAATTTGTATTGGGTATTTGGGTATCATGCAACTTGGAGCTAAATGTTTAGAGCACTTCTGAAATTAGATGTTATAAATATTATACTACTGTGAACATCCCCCAAAAATAAGTTAATAAATAGAAACATTTAAACAACTATGTTTAGTTTTATTCAACAGTTACATAGTGAGTTAATCATGAAGACATGCAGAGAACGGAGATAAACTGTACTTCATTTTATTACCATCTAAGTTCATGTAATACAGCACCATCTACTGTCCAGAATAACAAATACAGTTGTATATATGATGATCTCTGTTGCAACTCAAACATGACATAGAGTAGTAAGAGGCACACAGTTTCAGCCACATACAACTAAACATAAACAGTCTACATATATCCTCTAATGCAGTCAAAACACACACATTAGGAAACACAGGAAGACACACTGGCACAGGAAAAGTCACAAATGCACAAATGTCACCTTTGAGCTAGAACTGCAGATGGAAATTCTACTGATGTCTCTGCTGACTGAACCTTTGCTAGCAAAGCTGCAGCTCCCACAGATTCTTGTAAATAGCTTCCCATCTTTGTATAGACAGATTCTACAAACAATACAGTACACAAAAATGTATGTATCATAGTTGTAGTAGTAAAATATTAAAAGGGAGGGACACTCTAAGCACCAAAGCAACTTTAGCTTAATGAGGCAGTTTTTGTGTATAGATCATGCCCTTCATTTTCACTGCTCAATTCTCTGCCACTTAGGAATTAAATCACTTTTATGCAGCCCTAGTCACACCTCCCATGGCTGAAGCTCACACAGCCTCCCTACACATGTCCTGAAAAAGAAGTCTACATTTTTAACTTCCCTTACCGCACAGATTGTTTTTATTTTCAGTTCTGTTACTTGCTTGTTAGAGTCTATAACAACCTTGTGTGTGATTAACAGAGGAGGAGATAAGAACTTCTAAAATAACACAATGTGCTATAAAAAGTGAACCATTTTTCATTGAGGCTGTGTGAGTCCCGTCCAGTGGAAGCATGACTAGGATCTTCACCAAAATTATTTTTAAATTACACGTTGAATTCACATTATATTTATACCCCTTATTTAGGTCTTTTTGTGCTCAGTCACTACTTTGCCTTTAGTATAACATTAAAGGAAATGAAAAATATCCAATAGCTGTTTTTATGAATGATGTAACATTATTTAAAACCTGCACATGACAGGTCCTTTTTAATATCTTTTGAACTTTAGCCTTCCTTTAGGACACATTATGGCGTTTGTTGATTCTCATTTTCCTTCTGTTGATTCTATATTCTTTTTTCTATGTTCGACTCGCTGTTTTTTATAGGTTAGACAAGATGTACAGTGAAATGCGCTTGGCAAGCACTTTTTTTATTTTGACCATGTTTGGGGACAAACCCGGGGCTAGCTAGATTTCTGCAGGCTAGTGATTGGTTTGTGTTGCACTCCCGGGGTACTACAGGCGTGGGGTGTCAAATGTGTTATTTTACAATGTAATCTTGTCATATGTTAATATTATTGTTATTATTATTTCCATTTATATAGCGCCAACAGATTCCATAGTGCTTTACAATATTATGAGAGGGGGGATTTAACTATAAATAGGACAATTACAAGAAAACTTACAGGAAAGTGCTGCACCTTAGGCGAGAGCAAGAGACAGGTATGTGAGGTAGAGGTTACTCTGGGGCCCATGAGCTTTCCTAAAGAGATGGCTTTTAAGGCACTTTTTAAACAATTAAAGACTAAAGGAGAGTCTGATGGTGGAAGGCAGGCTATTCCATAGGAAGGGAGCCGCCCGTGAGAAAACCTGCAAGCGTGAGTTGGCCGTACGGGTATGAGCAGCAGACAGGAGAAAGTCATAGGCAGAGTGGAGAGACTGAGAAGGGGCATACCTATGGATCTGTGAGGAGATATAAGAGGGGCTAAGATGATTCAGTGCTTTATAGGTATGGGTTAGCACTTTGAATTGACTCCTATAGGATACAGGAAGCCAATGTTGCATCATTACTTAAGGATATGTATAATTAAACAACAATACATAAATTAATTGTTTAAATTGTGCAATAACCTTTGACAAATAGTTTCACTTTGTTGTTTATTTGACTATAATGTATTTTCTCCTTTTATAGTCTAGTACCATTACAGAAGGTTTGTCACAATAAATTACAGGATGCACTTCAAATAGCACTTACACATGGTTCACAGACCCTTTTCATTGACCTCATATTTCATGTGCTAATGAGATACCTCAACACAAAGTCATATATTTTTCTTACAGCTTTCAGTCATGATTTGTGGTCTAAAGTAAAAATAGATCGCAAATAAAAAAGAAGAAAATTACATTTTCAGAGTCAGAAAAGGGAGAAAATCCATTAAAAAAAACAACAAAAACCCCCCACAAAATAAGTTGATTTCTCTTTAGGAAAGTTTGGTTAAGATTTAATGTTATTAAAGGAAATCACGGAACAAACTTGCTTTCCTGGCACTATAGATCTCTATATTGCCCCCACCCTCCCCCTGTTGCAGAAGGGGTTAAAATCCCCTTCTGTCACTAACCTTAGTCCAGCACAGATGTCCTTCTGGGCTGGCTTGGGCTCCACTTCAGCTCATATACTGATTACATGGAAATGGCTGCACTCGCATTAGGAATTCCCTAATAGGAAAGCATTATAGAATGCTTTACTATGGGTTTAAGGTGATGCTGGACATCCTCATGTGTAGCATGAGGACATCCAGTGTCAGTTAGGCTACCAAAAGTCACCTAATGACCCGGATATCCTTCTAGTGGCTGTCTGGTAGACAGCCACTAGAGGTGGAGTTAACCATGGATAGTAATTCTTGAAGTTTCTCAATAACTAGAATAATTACTATTGCAAGGTTAAGGCACCTGGGTGTAACAATATTGATGTTACAAAGGTTTGGAGTCCAGCAGTCAGATGAGCATTGTTTTCTGCCAGAAGCAGCCACTCATCACCCAGGTGGTTGAGCCCCTGAGCCTTGAGTGGCTGTCAGGTCTTAGGCAGAGATGAAAGACTGCAACAGAAAGATGATAATCGTAGTAAGGCAAGCCAAGGTCAGTGGGAAGGAGAAGCAGGAAAGTCAAACTGTCCAAATTCAGCAACAGGTAGGAGAAACAGGAACAAGCTTGATTATAGAGTACAGGAACCACATTAATCTGGCAAAGGTACAGAGACAGGAAGTAGCAAACAAGACAAGTGTGTAATTATAGGTGCTTAGTAGTGAAAACAGTTTGTTAATTAGTCAGCAGCTGAAAACACTCTGTGGATATCTCAATTCCACTATATGCAAAGTGTACCAAACAAATAGAGAGTTTGAGTTTGTTTGGTACACAGACACAGGAAGTGGCTTATATAGGCCAAGAACGAGACACCTGACCAGACACAGGTGAAGAGAGTTGGCACTAATATCATTGCTTGTAGAGTCAAGGAGTCACACTGGGATAAACTGAAGTGGTCTGGGTGCCTATAGTTTTCCTTTAATAAAACAAAATGTTATATATGAAAGTTTTGAAAGGAAAATATATTATCTGGTTTTAAGTTCTGATCTTTACTGGGAAGGCATTACATATGACATAGTTAATTAGTAGAGTTGAGCGGACACCTGGATGTTCGGGTCCGGCGGGTTCAGCCAAACTTTGAAAAAAAGTCTGGGTTCATTCTTGAACTTCACCCCGAACCCGAACCCCATTGAAGTCAATGGGGACCTGAACTTTTGGCCACAAAAATGCCTCTAAAAAAGTCCTGGAAACGGCTAGAGGGCTGCAAAATTAAGTAAAATGTGGGTACGAGTAGGACAAGTGCACTGCAAACAAATGTGGATAGGGACATCACTTAAAATAACATAAAAATTAAAAATACAGCTATGCCATAAAATAGCACTAGATGAAATCTTTGATTTTAGCTTTGGAAGAACATAAATCAAAATCTAAAGCATGGCTGTCTGGAGGATCACCAGAATTATCAATTTGAGAGAGGGTTGGAGTGCAGGGTATTCTCTTTCATTGTTCAAACTGAGCTCAACTCCTGATGCATGGAGAAAAGGCCTTCACAAGCCTCTGCTATTGTGTACATAGTTTATACTAAGTGACCCATAGGTTGAGGAGGCGGTGACCGTGGCAATGTAGGTGGAAGCGGCGGTGGAGGAGGAGGAGGTAGCCAACACTGTTTTTATATATACATATTTTTTTTTTATTGGGGTAGCCCCCAAAATATCGGGACATATAAAAAAAGACAACTCTGTTCCGCAGAGCAACTGACCTGTGCGTGCCGCAGCTGGAACTCCACTATCGCCTGCTGCTGCTCGCATAGTCACATGAGACGGTGAGTGGGAAGGCTAAAGTTACGCTGCAGCACAGAG